ACCCAAACAAAGGACGGTGTCCTCGTCATTTTGTCCCCTGCACAAACAGGCAATGAGCAACTATGATTTTGCAGGCAATGTTCTTGTTTCTAGGATGCCACGGTGAATAAAAAGACAATCAAGGAAATGGTGAAAAGAATATAGGTAGTAGAGAAGTGGTGGGAGTTACATGATAGGAACAGAAACACACAACCAATGAACCAACAAACATGATGTTAGATAATGTACGTGCTCTGAAGAATATACAGCAGGGAACAGTAGCAGATGAGGAGGTTAGCAAAGGGGGGTGCCATCTGATCACTGAATTTCAGAGCACACATATCTGTGATTGAAGGTTCTGGCCACAAAACAGGGAGAGGATAGCAGGAAATATGCCAAGGCAAGAGCGTGCATGGCATGAAGATAGTGAAGGCTCATGTATCCAGATTCCAATAAATAAGTAGAAAGTACTAGGAGGTGAGGTTGGGGGAGCCCCTGTCAGATCGAGTGTGATCAGGCAAAAATGCTAGGTCTCCCACGTCATCAGTAAAGACCAAGCAAGCCTACAGCAAGCCTACAAGGGGCTCCTCTGTTGGCAATCCAGCCTTCACTCTTGCTCCATGACTAAGAATCTTTAAGAATCACATCTCTTGGCTTGGTTAGTCCACCATTAAAGCTCACGGTATTGTTGAGAGGCAGGATAAGTGATTGCTCACTTATACAACTCGCAGTGGCCTGTAGCTGGGGCATAAATATTTATTTCCTCCAGCTGATGCCACGGGATAATGGGAATTGTTTAACAAAACTACAGAACCCCAGCACATGATGACATGACAACTGCAAGGGTAGGTACCCCATTCTCACACAGCAGACCCAAGATAGTCTTTTTAGGATTGAGTCTGACCAGGTAAAAATGCTAGGTCTCCCACCTCATCTGTAAAGACCAAGCAAACCTACAGCAAGACTGAGATCTTGGGGCCTGCAACTCCAGATGCGGTGCATTTTCTGATGCCTGGTTCCACTGCACCCTCTAATCAATTCTGATATTACCACTTATGCCTGCTTTTACCCAGATGTCTCCATTCATAGCTGCAGACTGAGCCCCACCTCCCTCAGTAAGCCTGAGTCCTCCACTCCCTTCTATGTCATCTGATGTGGAGTGGATTTATCCTTGCAATTCACTAACCTGGACAACTCATCTGGCTCCTTCTCGTGAAGTCAAGCTCTACCATCCAGGCTACCTCCCTGATTTGTCAGTCTCCTTCTCAACTCTGGGTCTCAATATTTGATGAACAGTGAAACCATGAGAAAATTTTGGGGAAATACCAATGCCCAAGTTCCACCCCAGACCAATTAAATCATTTTAGGGGTGGGGACCAGACATGAATATTGTCAGAATTGCTTACACAATTCCAAGATGCAGCCAGGCCTGAGGAGCCAGGTGTTTTAGAGGTCTTCAAATTCAATGTGCATACACATTGACTGAGGGTCTTTTTAAGATGTAGATTCTGATTCAGGGTGTCTGGGGAAGAACCCAAGAGTCTGCATTTCTAAGAAGCCCCCACAGAAGGCAGTCCCTGCTCATCCCTGGACCACACTCTGAGTAGTGAGTAGTGACAGTCAGAGGCAGCCAGATTTGAGGGGTGGGGGATGGAAGTGGGCTTCACTCATTTCCTGTCCATCAAGATGTTCCCTTTACAGTTGGAAAGGGAGGGGCTTCTAGAGGAGGTAGGACAAAAGGTTCTTATAGAACAGTAAGGGGAATTTTCTGCTCTTGTAGGATTAGGTGTTCCTATACCTAAAAAATGTTACCAAATCCACTATCTATTATGAAGTGTCTAGCAGAGTACCCAGCACATAGTAGGTACATAGCAATTAGTGCTTGTGCTTCTCACAGAATCTTGTTTTTATTAATATTAAGGCCAGACCCTCACCCTACTTCCTAAGCATGTGCTTTTGATGTCCAAAACCCTGACAGAGCCCCACAAAGCCCCAGAAACCACTTTCATCCTCGGAGGATGTGCCACAGGCAGGGGCCAAGCACAGGATGCCCGGATCCCAGGGCTTCCATTGCAGATATAATCCCCAGACCCTGCCTAGTTAGGGGCCCCTGTGCCTTTGCTTCTCTCAATTATTTGATTTATTTTCCATAAGTGTGGGCAGACTTCCTTTCATACCTCAGGCATGGCTAAAGCTGAGTGTTCACTACATATTTTAGTGGACCTGTTTTAAATGCTCTTTTGGTTTAACTCATTATACCCTGAAACACAGATACTATTAACTTCAATGAGTGGCAGATGATAAGGAAACTCAGAAAGGAAAAAAAAAAAAAAAAAAAAACTCGCTGTAGTCACATATGTAGTGATAGAGCTGGAAGACAAACCAGTGGGGATATATTTCAGAGACCATGTCTTTCTAGTGCTTCTCAAACTTTGCTAAGGGATTTTATGAAAATTCAGGCTCTCGTTAAGCAGGTAAGAGAGAGCCTGGGATTCTGCATTTCTTACATAGTCCTTGGTGATGCAGATGGTGCTGCTCCATAGACAACATTCTGATAGCAAAATTACTCATATGCTCTGATGCCTCCTGGTGTTTCCAGATATCTTCCTTAAGGTGTCCCTAAAAGACTTCCCATACACCTACAATAAATGGTCAGTTGATTTGACAAATCACCAAAATCCCAGTACATCTCCACTTAGAAAACTTATAAAAAGTATGTTTAAACTTCTCCTAAAATTGCAATATTTATGGCAAAATACCTCAAGTATTTGGAAAAGTAGTTGTGTCCATTATAAGCTACGATGTTGCAGGTTGTTATGAAATTGCTTTTATAGTTAAGTGTCACTACTGAAAATACTTTCTGGGCCAGGGAAACAATTCCCACCTCTAAAAGCCATGTGAATAGTTCCAATTTGAGAAATATGGGGTGGAACTTCTTAAAACAGGAGTGAATCATACAGCTAAAAGCTTTCTTCCTCAGATCACTGGAGGAGATGATGTATATAGAAATCAGAAGAAATGACAAACTGTCCTGCCCATTTAAGGGGAAATCAAGACTGTTCACTTCATCAGTCTGGACTCAGGGCTGGGAACTTGCTGGGTGTGAATGAGACAGAAACAATGGAGCAGAAAGGGGTGAAAATAAACTCCCAGGGATGCTTTAGATATCAGAGTGACCTGAAGTTCTAGATTAAATAGTGATCACCGACAAGGATTAGGTGGAATGGCCCCTTTATGCAATTACCAAAGCTCAGTGACTCTCAAACTTGGCTCCATATTAGAGCCACCTAAAGCTTTCACCACCCACCTCCCACACCTCATACTTAGGCCACACCCACACATCAATTAAGTTACAACCTGGGACCAGGCACCCTTAATTTTCAAAGGTCCTCAGGTGATTTCAACATGCAACCAAGTTTGGGAACCATTGGCAAAATCCTTCAGTGTCCTCAGTCATAAAATAATCCATCTCAACCATTCTGTCTGCAGGGTGAAGACATCTCCCTAGGGGAGATTTTTTTTTTTTTTTTAAATACTGATGCCTGCAGCAACCCTAGAAGTTCTGATTAATTTCTGGGACTCAGGAATTAGCATTTTTAAGAATTCACCAGGTGATTCTACTGTGCAGCTAGGTAGGTAACTACTGGTCCAGTTGTTTTACAAGATTCCTTCCACAGCTTATATTTTAAGCATCTCCAATATTTAAGTTAAAAATGCATTTAGACCTTTAGGAAAAATGGATCTCTCATCTTTACTTTTAAATAAGATATTTCTAACTTTGGAAGACTCTATGAATTCCCTTAAATCTTATGCAAAACGTTAGATGAATTTATATGTATATTTTCAAAGGAGAAATTCCTTAGCTCTTTTCAGATTCTCAAGAGATTTAATTCTATAACCTTAAAAGCAAATATGTGGTTCTTGATTTCATAGATTTAATAGATTTAAGAAAATTCAAAACTGAATGGGAAATCAATTTGCTCTCATCAGCTGCCACAAGCATGTTTATGCTAATTTTGAGTTTGGAAGACACACACTGATACCTAGTGGCTGCATATCCCTATTGCAGGTTTAGTTCAGACCCATTCTCTGAAAAACTATCACGTGATGGGAGTGAAACATTCAGATTCAAGTATGAGAGTGGGCTGGGGTCAGTACTAGGCTCTCTGGTAATGCTCATAGTGAGAAATGACTTCCCTAGCTGCACATATCAGGAAACTTGCCACTCAAATGATTAGGATTAACATCCCTAGCAGGGTTAGGGTATTAGAGTTTTCTAGTCCTGACTATTGTTACCTATATATCTTGGTTTGAGTATGACTATAACCACAAGTCCTTGAGAAAATTATTGAACCTTTCTGTTCCTCATAGGAAATGGGGAGAATATAGGTACTTTGAAGATTGCTCTTAAGAAGAATAAGAAAATACATGAAAAATGCTCAGCAAAACATTTGAAAAAAAAATCAAACTTGACATATTACTAGTATTACTGTTGTCTTATTAAGATCTTAGATATGCTACTATATCTAATATCACCAAGAAAAGAGAAAATATATTTCTATTACAGAGCAACTCACCATATACCCAGGAAAGCTATTGGGCACAGGAAAAGGTGACCCTATAATAAAGATATAACTCCTACCCTTGGGGAAGAGCCAAAAATGGATGAGAAGTCTCTACATCTGGGTGCAGCAATTTCTTGTCACATATCTAGTATTCTATGCAGCCTAAACCTTCTCATCACAAGGACAAGTGGGTGATCACAACCCCCACAGCTGCCATAAGCTCCTTTCCAGGTAAGAGAAGTAGTTCCAATTAAATGATCAGCACTTGTCCAGCCTGGACACTCACTGGTGGCATTCTCTCCCGTCAATCCCTCCCCAAAGTGCACAGTCCCTAGGCACTTACACATCTGTCCATCAGAGAATCTCTCACAGTATACTTGTCCCACCAGCGTGGGAACATCACCAAAAACTCTCAGCAGCCTCAGCAAAGATTCAAGGTAATCAGCGCTCACTCACCTGGAGTCTGTTTGGCCGTACGCACAGGGGTGTAGTGGTTTTTGGATGATGATCTGACCGGCGTGTTCTCTTTGGGAGAGGTATCGATGGCCGAGATAGCTTCTCTTTCACAGTGTGCTATGGGAATTGGTCCCTGTTGTCTTAAGATGTCAGCCAGAGCCCTAGATAAGGAAGACATCACACATGAGACTCACAGGGCTGGTATGCACCCCATGAAGGGAGCTGGCTTATTTCCATAGGCCCTTTGATGTAGTTGCAGGGGGTGAGGAAACTTAAGAGACACAGCACTCTGTTCTCAACAGTCACAGCTTCAGCTGGTGCTGGTCCCAATGGAAACACAAAGCAGAGGTGGCCATACCTGGGGTTATAGGCACTGAAAGGCTGTGATTATGGTTTCTTTCTTTAATTTACCTCACAAAAGCAACCTCTGAGTCCTTCCAAAATATAATACCCCCCTCCACCATATATTGAACAATACCCATGGCAGTTGGTCAGTAGAATGCCATCATTGTGAAGGGCATATACCTCTAGCCTCAAATTCAGCAGAAGGTTATTAATATCGGGAGGACCAACTTCCCCATCGGAAAAAACTCACTGAGTGGCATGTACTCTGTACAGGTGACCCAAATAAGTACAGCACACTCCTTCTGCCACCAAGGAGAGGTGTGATTTAACTGAAAAGACAGGCCACCCAGGTTAAAAAGATAAACAGTAGAATACATGGGTGGTACAGAGAGTGATGCAACTGGAGCTTAAAAGGAGGGAATTACAGAGAGGAAAAAACAAGAAGGTAGAGAAGCATAGTGGAGCCATGGCAGCAGGAGAGGCGTACCCCGCCCCTCTGCAAGGGACCCAGTTATCTCCAGAGAGCAGCTTTTATTCACATAACACCTAACTCCAACAACTGAATGTGCACTGATTGAGGGCTCAGCATGCATCATCCCTGGAGAGGCAGAGGCAAACAGAGGCTCCCATTTAGGGGTCACAGTTTAGAACTCTCTCCCCGATCTGGTTTCAAACAGGTCTCCCTTGGTCGGTATGACATGTGATAAAACCACCATCACTGAAATACAGAGACTCACAGGGATGCTCAGGGGACAAAAGGTTGAGTGTAGACAAGTCTCAAGAGCCCACCACCTGGATACTGCCACTTCAGGGCCAGGTCCCCAGTTCTGAGTGTGCCCTGTTTGGCACAAGCACTCATCTATGAATTTGGGGTGTCCTCAAGGGGTGGGGCAAGATAGCATGCCTCCAGGCCTCCCTCAGCCAGCCTGGCCCACCTGAGATCCAGCCATGTCCACCTCATTCCAAAGCTCCAGTCACACCGGGATTCCAGATCCTGGCGCTCTGCCCCTTTGCAAAGTGACAACCACCAGTTTAAAAACATGTCTGAGAGCAAATTGTTTCCTTCCATTAATACCGCCTCTGACATCCTGAACCTTTCTAGGAGAAAAGCATCAAGCTGACAATCTTATCATTTAGTTGCATTTATACAGCAATTTCAGATTTTCCAAGTGCCTTCTCTTCACTGACTTCTTGTCTCTCAAGATATAAAAGGAAGGAGCAGACACACAACCAGCTCCAAGCACTTCCTTGGACTGAGCAGTGAAGCAGGATGCAGAACCTCACTAGTCTGGTAAAGGGCGTTCAGGCAGGCTTAGGGCATGGGTAGAGAGACCTGAGATTTAGGGCCTAGTAATAAGAAAAACAGCATTGCCCCAGAAAATCAAGAGATTTGGATTCTAATCCCAGCTCTCTCTCTGATGAGCTGTGAACCTTAGGGCAGATTTGTTACTCACGGAAATTGAAATTTAATCTTTTTCCCCCATCAGCAAAACAAAGGATTTAAACTACCGTGATTTCTAAGATCCCTTCTAACCCCCAAATTGGATAAAAATTTTATATATTTTTTAATCACAGATCCAGGCAAATTACCTTGATTCCTTCACCCCTCTGATTATCAAATATACTTTCCTACCATCTTCCCATGGTAACAAAGTAATGAGTCCAAAGATTGTAACAAAAATATAGAATATGGAACAATATTGAGAGCCTAGAAATAAACCCATACATTCATGGTCAATTGATTTTCAACAAGGGTACCAAGAGCACTCAATGGGGAAAGAAGCGTTTCTTCAACAAATACAACTGGACATCCACATGCGAAAGAATCAAGTTGAGCCCTTAGCCATACATAAAAATTAGCTCAAAATCGATCACAGATTTAAAAAGAAGAAATTAAACTAAAACTACAAACTCAGAAGAAAATATAGAAACAAATCTTTGTGACTTTAGATTTGATAATGTGGCTTAGATAGGACACCAAAAGCACAAACAACTAAAGAAAAAAGCAGATGAACTGGACTTCATCAAAATTAAAAACCTCCTCTGCATCAAGGAATGCCATCAAGGAAATGAAAGACAATCCACAGAATGGGAAACAAGATTTGCAAATCACATTTCAGATGAGACTTGTATCAAAGTATATAAAGAAGTTCACAATTTGGCAATAAAAAAGTGGACAACTCAATTTGAAAACGAACAAAGAATATAAACAGACTTTTCTCCAAAGAAGGAATACATGGAAAGTAGTGCACCTCATAAATCATCAGGAAAATGTAATTCAAAACCATGATAAGTGCCTCCCTGGTGGCACAAGGGGTTAAGCACTGTACTATGAAGCAATCCGCAGCCTCTGCAGCATGAGTTCAATCCCAGGCAGGCCAGAGAGAAACTCACATGGCGAGGCAGACCTCTCCTGTCTCGCCCGCTGCTCCCCTCAGCAGTGTATTTCAGTCAATCTGCCTGTTCTGTTCCCCACTTTGTCTCTGGTGAATTCTCTCACCCCCCGCATCTCTGGCCTGTACCCCAGCTCTTGTATGCATAATCTTTAAAAGAAAACACAAAAAAACCACAATAAGCTACTCCTTCATACCTACCAGGAGAGCTATAACCAAAAATATAGGTAATGCCAAATGTTGTTAAGAAACTGACATGCTCTTAGACTGTTAGTAATTACTTTAGCAGTTCCCTAAAATGCTCAGCATGGAGTTATCACATGGCCTGGTAATTCTGCTCCTAGGTATATATCCAACAAGAATGAAAACATACATCTTCACAAAACTCGTATCTGAAGGCAGCCTCATTAATACAAATTTCCCTGACTGTCTGAAAGTAGAGCATTCTTATGACAACTTTTATCAGCCAAAATGTCATAAAGTAAAGAAGCAATTGCTTCTTTTACATGGAAAAAAGTTTTGAGCATTCTCAGGCCCCCCAAAAGTAACCTACTAATCAACCTCATAATACATAAAGTCTAAGCTAACACTAACATCTACTCAAAGCAGGAAAGACGTGACAAACACACAGCCAGCAGGGTACATCCCGGGGAAGGTGCTCGGTGGGGTCACACCACCTCTAACACAGCTGCCACAAAATCCACTCTGCTATTTCCACCTGTGGCAAAGTAAAAGTCCTCTACAATTTTTTTTTCATTTAGTAAAAAACATGTGCCAAGTTAGTACCAGTTTATAAAATCAAAGTCGAATAATATGACCTTTTGAAAAGGGAGGTGGTGGTGGGGATACCTGTAAGCCAAAGATGGCAATGATCCAAATGTCCAACAACTGATGAATGGATAAACAAAAGTGGTTCATTCACACAATGGATTATTGTCCAGCCTTTAAAAGTAAGGAGGGGGAAGAGGGAAGGGTCCAGGCTGCTGAATGGTCACCTTCCTGAAGGCCACCAGATTTGATGGATATGAAATGTGCCTGGATGTGTCTTGTTGCTAGAGAACTAGTTTGAAGTCTGGGTTAGAGCTAAACTCTTTCCATCTCTAGGTGAGTTTAGCAAAGAAGGTAATGAATAACTTGCATTGGGTCCTCTCAGAATGCCCAGCTGACCGGACTGAGTTGGGCAGCACAGCCAAAGGAGAGGGATGTACAAGGATGCACCTACAGAGAGGGCTGTGGGACAGGCTCTCTGGAGCGGGGGACCCTGCCACGTGTGACCCCAATGAGACATATGGTAATCAGGTGCATGCTCCTGGGCCCCACCCTGTGGCATCCCGACCTCCTGCAAACCAGTCTCCGAGATCCATCTTTCCCAGTGCCCTCTGGCAGCCAGAAAGGTAGCCCTAGTACCCAAACAGTGCATCCCTCTGCCAGGCCCTCCTCCCCCAACTCCCACTCGTCCCTCTGCTCAGTGACCTCCCTCCTTGCTCTGTACCTCTTCATCTACCGGCCCCTTCTCTCCAGGGTGCTTGATAAATATTATTCTAATTCTGAATTGTGTGATCCCAGTCTCACCTAATTAATGTGAATATGCCAGAGGAAATGGGTTAAGGCCTGAGCTACTTTCTAACCGTAGGAAAGAAAATTGGTCACTGAGGAACAGGGAAGCAGATTTTATAAAAGAGTGGGCAGCAGCTTTCAGGGCCTGAGAGAGGGGTAGAGACTCGAAGGAGGGGAAAGACAGGGAGAGACAGTGACACACACAGGGAGGAAGGAGACACAGAGGGAAACACAGGTGGAAAGCGACCACAGAAATGGAGCCAGCAGATGTGATGAGAGTGAGAGCCCTAGGCTCAGAGGCAGAGAAGAGAGAGAAAGAGATGAGGGAGTAAATGAAGGAGACACAGACAGGAGACCAAGAGAAAAGAGGAAGACAGACTCAGAGGGACAGAGACACACAGAGACAGCAAAAGCGAATGAGAAATAGAGAAATTCAGAGGCAAAAAATGATTTGGAAGGCAAGTGGGAGAGGCCAGAAAGACAATCAGAGGGAGAGAGACAGGGCCAGGCAAGTGGGGAGTAAGGAAGGGTGAGCCACCTCAAGCCTGGGCAGCACCAAGCCAGCCCCCCTCCACCCTCCTGCAGCCACTCCAGATGTCTAATTTAAGACCTTGAGTAATCTGCTAAAAGTTCTGCATGTCCCAATCTCCTCCCCAACCCCCAACCCAAGGCCACTTTTCCTGCATATATGGATACATCAGATAAAAGGATCCTCTTTGCCCGAATTATTTGGAATTATTGACTTTGGTTCACCACTTCCTTTGGCATATCTTTGTTGGCTTTCATAGCTACATGGCAACGAGGAGACAGAAAATTAATTGGGCAGCAAATCTGACCAGGAGAAACCATTGTTCTGACCATTCAGC